AGGTGAAATGCAGAAAAATACGGTCTGTAGAGCAAATAAGGAAAAACAAATTCCTTCTGAGAAAAGCAAGAGTAAAGTTCAGAGTGCTGGCAAGGCACTCCTACACCTGCACAGTTTTATAGCAGTCATCTGTAAACCCTGGTTGAAGATTTTCATTTTTTAAACAGAGAAGTATGCTTCAGTTTTCATGCTGATCCCTCACTGATTTCAGAAGGTAGTTTCTTTGCCTGATATTTTTAGTAAATGTCACAGAGGTCAACCACTTTATGATGTGGTCAGTTATCAACTATTGGCTACTAGCAGATAGAAAATATTAAAGCAAATTGATCCAACCCTTGAATTGCTGTGGTTGTATGTTGCAAGGGTGATCTCACAGAATCGTAGAATCATAGAATGGCCTGGGTTGAAAAGGACCACAGTCATCATCTAATTTCAACCCCCCTGCTGCGTGCAGGGTTGCCAACCACCAGACCAGGCTGCCCAGAGCCACATCCAGCCTGGCCTTGAATGCCTCCAGGCATTCACAACTCCTTGGGCAACCTGTTCCAGTGTGTCAACACCCTCTGTGTGAAAAACTTCCTCTTAATACCTAACCTAAACCTTCCCTGTCTTAGTTTAGAACCATTCCCCCTTCTCCCATCCCATCCCATCCCATCCCATCCCATCCCATCCCATCCCATCCCATCGTGTCCTATCCTGTCCTGTCCTGTCCTGTCCTATCCTATCCTATCCACCCTTGTAAACAGTCATTCATTCCCCCTCCTGTTTATATGCTTCCTATGCCATAGTTTTTCTCATTTAAGTAAAGCTGTTGACTTTTCCTTTTTGTGTGGGAGAATTTTTTGTGTAGTTGTTACTAGTATTTTCTGTGTGTATATAAAAAAAACCCACAGGTGCTAAACTGTTACATCTTCTTGTTTGGAGAAGACTCAAAGAAATTCAGATTAGAACTCTTTCTACTTAGTTGTTACTGTTAATCACATTGTCTTAAATACAAAGCAAAACACTTTTCTATTGTGGGTATATTTAGAAAAGCATTTTTTGATTTTAAACAGGTTCATTGTTTAATGATTGCATTAAATAAATAATTATAAAAAATATCCCTCAGTTCTATCATTGAAGGTGTTTAAAGTGACACTCGCATCTTCACACACACAGATATATTTTTTCCCAATACTTTAAAAAGCATGTTTATCAGAAAATCCTTAATTTGTTATTGGTATGGCAAATACAGTTAGTCAAGCAGCTGTAAACTACAGTCTCCTTCCCCTGCTCCCTCCCTCTGCTTAGTTCCTTCTTTCTGCACTTCTGCATGCTCCATCTGTGTGCATGTGTGGGATCACTCTCTCCACTATCTCTTCCTTGGGCTCATTTCCGTTCTTTGCTGGCAAAGAAACTCATTACTGAATCAGCAAAATCAGCCAAATCTTCCAGGCACTGCTTATAGCTTGTTTTGAAGATTATGTGAAGTGGGAGGAGTCCTTGAAATCAATCTATTGCTGTTCTGACACTTCACCTTTGGTTTGAACAGCTGCTGTCTGCTCTGGGCTTTTCCTCAAAATTGCTCATGTGAGGTCAGTAGTTTGCAAGCTTTTTTTAACCAGCCCTTTTGTCTCCTGGAGTTGTACCTAGAACCTGGGTTGCCTGGCAAAACCGGGCTTTGGGTATGTGCGTCTCATGTTTCTTTCATTTCCAAGGACTGCTCAGCCTGTTGCTTGGTGCTCTGAATGGCTCCATACATGGGTGTTACGTGGCGCGATTGCTGCTGAAATAACAGAGCAGGACCCTGTGCCGTAGGCAGTAACAGTGAGATGAACTTCGTGATACATAGGAAGCTGCAGGGATTATGCTCTTAATACTTCTGCAAATCTCTGTAGAAAATCTCTTTGACAAGCTGAGTGGGGGTTTAATGGGTATGGCTGAAATGCTAAGGGATGCCAGCTTGAAACAGGAGTGACTTCATGGGCACAGTTTGCACTGTCAGCTGTGTTCCAGTGCATGTGCATAGGGATTTTTCAAAGCAGTCTGGAAAATGTTGCATTCATTTCAATAGGAATTCTGCTTTCTGTCCTGCTGGAGGGGCAGACTATTCTTAAGAGTTGCATTCTTACAAAAAGATGATAAGTTAGTGCACATGTATGCCTATTATTTGTGTTATCAACAGCAGAATAAAACTGACCTTGGTCTTAGGGCTTTTCAGATGATTGCATTAATTGCCTAGATTCTTGCCTTGTAAAACTAAGTTCTTTGCTTTGAAACATGCAGTGATTTAAAGTTTTGTTAATGCTAAATTCACGATTCCTTCAGATAAACTAATATTGCCTCTTTGAGAAGCCATGCTTTTCTTCTCCTCTTCCCTTTTATAATGGTATTCACATTTGTAAGATTACAACACAGTGAATAGATGTTACGCAGAAACAAGGTAAATGTTTACTTATTAAGTAAAGGAACTCTTGGTTAACACCCTCTGAAAACTCAGTGAGGCACTTCACACAATAACTAACTCATAAGAAGAAGGCACTTTTGCTGATATGCAAAGTTCTTTGTCATTCAGGGAAGAAGTCAAGCAGCATCTCCAGTATCAGTGACTCCTGACTGTATGTTTAAAGTATTTTTATTTGAGGTGGAGCTCTGAAAGAACCTATTATTAGCTATGAAATAATTCTTTATTTGCTATTTTGGAATCAATTATCACTGGTCAAAGTATGTAACAAAAAATGGATACGTGTCGTACACTATTGATAATACCAGACCGTTTAGCCCTTTGACCGTATATAGCTTATTGGCAGTGAATTGTCTTACAAAATATGACTCTGGGAGAGCTTAAAGCATTTCACTTTTCAGATGACAAAAATGTAAGCTGTGAGTACACAGCCTTAATCCTAAGGATTTGCTTTTTAATTGCTTGGATTTTTTTTCCCCAAATTGATAAAGCGTGTTGCTTCTAACATTTTTCAGCATATAGTAACGGCTTGACAGTGATGTGTAGACTTTCAAGCAGGTGCTACAGTAGATGACTCTTTTTCTTGTTTCTATCAAAGGAAAGAGCTTGACTGAAATCTGACCTAGTTATATATGTATGTATATATATTATGGTGGCTACATGATTTGGATACAAACTGAGTTTGTTTTGGAATAATGAAGAGTTCCCTTTTTGAGTGCGACACCAAAATAAAATGCTTTTGTACTGAATTTCGCCCTGTGTTGTCCTAACCATTGGTAGAGGAGCTCAAATGCCAGCCTGTGGTGAGAACAAGCAGGAGCAATCCTGCTTTTACAGGTTGGGAAAATGAGATGCAGAGATATGAATTAGAGAGGGTCTACTGTGAATCCAGCACGGAAGAGAAAAATGAGACATTTTTCTAGAGCTATGGTTAATTTAATTAATTTATTTATTTTTCAAAGAGGAGTGAGGATTTTTTTTCATTATAGGGCTGATGTGTGTATGTGGGACTGGGGCACCTCTCAGGTAGTGCTGTTGCCTTTGGTCTAGAAGTTCTGAAGTAATGGCTGCACTTTTGTTCATCTGTGTCTATGGCACACACGACACTTAACTGTCGTAGGAGCAACTTTCTCTTCCTCTGGGAGCAAGTTAAGTGTCTGGGGTATTGACAGGGAAGTAAGAAGGAGTAGAGCTTTATCTCTGTGGGGTTTTGAGTGAGCCTAACAGACCTTTCAAATATTTTCCTGTTGACTTAGTGAAGTCACTGGTTTCAGCTGTAAACTTTTCTTAAGAATTAGATCTGTCAGTAGGCACTGAAGATAGATATGAATTTGGGAGGAGAGGTGAGGAGCTCTTTTCAGGAGGGCCTGTGTAGCCATAGGCTATGAACTTCCTGGAACTAGAGAGGAAGGGTTTGAGTGGGTGTGGGACCATGTCAGGGCCATGTTCTTGCAGCAACCTTGTGCAGCATTTCCCTCATTCATTTCTTTGAGTCTTTCTGCACTCATTGCAGCACACCAATCCTCCCTGAGGAGCCAGGAGGTACACCATGAGGTTGTAGCCAGCTTTGTTTCTCCTGCAGAGAAGGAAAGGGAGAAAATACCTCAGACACATCATTGCTACCCAGAAGGAGTGCAGGAGAAATGTGGAGGACACAGAGGTGCTGTGCTGGTTACAAGGGCTCAGTCTTCTGACACAAGGCCTCAGGTGCTCTCTCTTCCCATCCTTTGCAGATTGCTTAGCTTCATTTTGCTGTGTCCGTGAAACATGACTTTGAGCCCAAGAATTTCTTTGTGTTTCAGTTACAGAACCTGTTGACTTTCACCTATCCCTTTGGCATAATCAGCCAACACCCTTTGTCACCTACTATCTGCGTTGTTAATTTGAGCTGAGAGAAACAAACAAAGCACTTTTTTTTTTTTTTTTTCTCATGCTGTCATTTGAAACCCTGCAACGCTTGCAAGGCAGAGTGTTTTGCATCTATCTGAGCTTCCTAAACGTGGTGCCGAGGACCAGCAACTCCTGGCACAGGGCAGAAACACAGTGAGTCAGGACTCATCTTGTGGTTCCAAGCTGGCAGCTCGCCCAGTCATCTACAGCAACGTCACTTAGGAAGAGGATCAGGGGCTTAAAAGTAGGAAGCAGACAGCAGCCCATCCCATAGTGACAAGGAAGGGGCTCCTTGTCCTACAGCAGGAAGTAAGTTGCAGTGGATCCAGGTATGTTCCCTTTGGATTAACTCTTGTTCCTTTTGTTTTCCAGTAAGTTTTTTTTTTTTTTTTTTTATTTCTTTATCAGTACATTCTTGAGCAATATGAAAGACTTAAGTCCAAGGTAACTTATGCCAACTTGTTCAGTATCTATTTTGCTGTATTCCAATAATAGAAACTCTCTCCAGATTTTATAAACACTATGATCTAGGGCACTGGAGAGAGGATTATGGCTGCATCCACCTATCTGTAATCATGCCTTCTTTGATTGGGTTGTTTTGGTTCTGAGAAAGTTGAAAGTCACGGTGTGTGTTTGTTTAAGATCTCCTGTTGAACTCTGAGGGCTGTATTCTATACCCTCACTGCTCACAGTGGAGGAAACACTGGTGTGAATCTGATAAAGCTGCCAGCTGTAACTTTGTTGTCACACAACTGAATTGCCAAAGAAGACAGCAAGAAAGGTTGCCTTGGACAAATCAGAGAAAATCGTGTTCAGCATTGGAGAAGTGGTAGGTGGGGCAGCTTTGTTTTGTTACCTGTAGAAAGAGGTTCAGGTTTTGAGGCTGCCTTTGTGCTTGGTGGTGGCTGTCACCCGGCAGTGACTCACAGGTGAGAGCGTGGGGCCACACCTGTGCTGTCGCCTGCTTTGGTCCTGCTGATGGTGAAAACGGCAGCAGCCTGGTCTGGGTGCCAGGCCAGTGCCATGACTAACAAGGCTGTATGGATGGCAGACAGGTGGAGGGATGCTCCTATTTACTCACTCTCCTTTTTGTGGAGACAGAAGTGAGCTGGATAGAAACCTTTCACCACCTGGTATCAGCCTGCGAGAAATCAATGGAGCCAGCTGGGTTCTATTACTTCTCCACTGTTACGATGATAGCCCTTGTATAAAGTAGTCATTTTAGATTTTTTTCTTTCTTTCTTTTTTTTTCCTGAGTACATTTTGACCAATTTCACTTCTTAGTTTGTGAGAAGCAGTGCTCTTGGTCTTCAGTTGTCAGTGTGCTGTTGGATATTAATGTTTGACCTTTAGAATTAGTCATGTAATTAAGGAGTGGTTTGACCGCATATTCCATGTTTATAAAAATTGCTAAGAAATAACTTAGTGAGTAATAATGGTGCTAACTGCCTTCGGTCTGTAGTCCTGGTGCTTGCACAAGCAGCTGTAACTTTTTCCTCTCCAGTGTTCAGCCACCCCATCAATGAACACTGTGATGCAGCAGAAGTGGCTCTGTTCTTGAACTGCTTGTAGTCAAAACCTGGTGCAGAAGAGAAAATTGAAAAGTTGCTTCATGGTCTCCTTTTCACTATGTGTTTTTTTTTCCAGTACTTCATGTGATATTTTAAAAAAAACATTGCTGTATTGTATACAGGCACATAAAGAATATTTTAAAAGTTTGAATTCTGAATTAAAAACTCAGTAACTATGAAATTTGAGGCTTTAATTGAAAAAGAGAGGCTGATTCTAATAAGAAATGTTTTAAATATGCAAACTGGGCTCTTCACTTCAGATTAAATTTTAGTTCTTTTGATTTAAACTGTTTTTTTTTTTTTTTTTTCCTTAAAATTTGTAAATTGGCCTGAATGTCCCCTCAATTTTTGGGGAAAAAAACCTGTGCTTTGTCACCTTCCCCTGATATTGGCATTTCTGATTCTGCTTTATACAATTTGATATGTCTAATTTTCTCTTATATATGTCAATATTTTCTCTTACAATTTTTGTGTTAAATAGGATAAAGGATAAAGAATTGAATATTTTAGCATATTAGTAAATGTATTAATTAGCAAACAGCACCGGTTGATGTTTTTGAGAGGGTTTTTAATTTTTTTTCTATGTATTTTTCAAATGCCCTTAATCTGTGGAGTGATGTGCTGTGCATACTGAGTCATGCAAAGGATTTCGAATTGCAGCTTCTCTCTCTTCTGATAGTGGATTCATGCCTTTTAGCATGAATTCAGAGCAATAGTTGTGCATAGCTGACAGCGAGCAGCCTCGTGGCAATGATGACTACTTTGATGCAACATTGAGTGCTGTTCTGCCTGTGGAATACCCTGTACCTTAGTTTCCTATACGTCCCCTTCTCTGCAGCACTTGGTGTTCACCTTTTCCTTTCCTGAAAAAGAAAATGTCAAATCCTCTCTATTTTTAAAATATTTTATAGTTTCCTTTGGTGCAAAGGAGAAATACTACTTAGAGTTCATCAGATTAAACTACAGCAAAGCTACTGCTTCCAACAGTCTGTTCTGAGATTTGTAGTGGTGTGCGATGTTGAATAATTCTCACTTCAAACTGAGGAAGCTTAAATTACTTTTAATGAGAATGAAGCAACAAAGGCTGGATTTAATAATCAACTTGTTTTGTTTTAGTTACAAAACACCGAGGAAGAAAGGCTTTTGGTGATACTATCTGTAGGTCTGGAAAAGAACTGTCTGCTTTTGGAGATGCTTTTAAGTGGGTGTGCCATAGGGATGCCAGTCCATGTTTTGCTTCTTCATTATGGGCATTTTTGTTCCAAAACAGTTTTGTTTGCAAAGACCAGTGAAGCACTAAGATTTACCAGAGCAAATATTTCATCAGTTATACCTGGTCTTCTGTTACAACTTGTTTTAATAAAATGTCTGTATTAGGTATTTGTTGCATTCCAAAGTATCCCAGTAAAAGTGAAAAAGGTAATATTGTACCTTTACAATATGCAATAAAGAAACAGATTATTTCACAGAATCCTTCAGGGATGTGGTTGGAATTCATTGGTTTTACAGCCCCCTAAAATGGAGTGTTGATAGAGCATTTAATCTGGGTCTGCCATCCGTCTGCTCCTGCTTAGGTTTTTAAAAATCCTGCCCTGTCACAGGTCACAGCACTTACCTCTACCATCAGCAACTTCTTCCTGCCTGAGCTTGTCAAGTGTCTGGAGTGCATCTAACTTCATGTAGTTAGTAGCTCCCAAAAACATATAAAGTGCCTAAAATGCATAGAACTGGTTGGAGAATTAAGCTATATTGTAATATCAAAAGAGAAAACCAGGGTAAGGGAGACATTTGGCAATTACACTGTGTAATTAATTGAGCTTGGAGGCAAAGCCTTTGTGTTGGGCTGCAGTCATTTAGCAGAGCTGGTTTATACTGAAACAGATGAGGAAAAATATGGGATGTAAAATAGTATATAAAAGAAGAAATGTTCATTTTTTTGACCCCTTGAATGGCAAACCTACGATCACAGGTCACGGTCACTTAACTGATTACTGCCACAGGCAGCGGTGAGCTAGCATTCCCCTCCCCACAGTACTTCCCTTCTTCCCGTTTGCCTTTGCTGTCTTTCAGTCTGCCAATTTTACACAAGAGCCAGGATAGTGGGAACTGTATAAATGAAAGTGTGGAGTTAAAGGGGAAAAGGAAGGGGACTGAGGAGGTCTGGCTCGCAGTAGTCTTTTTAGGAGTGGGATTGAGTGGAGATCCTTATGAATAAGGCTTCAACCTTAATGGTTTTTCTGTTTAAAATGCCACCTTTTTTTTTTTTTTTTTTTTTTTTTTTCATTTATCAGTACTGGTTTTACAGTCACCAGATCTTTTCTCAGGAAAAACGGGGTATGCAAATTTAAGTTGTGATGAAAGGGGCATGGAGAAACACAAATAAATGCACCCTTTCTCCTCAGAGAACTTCCTTTTTTCTTCCATCTCTTTTTTTTTTTTTTTTTTTTTCTTCTTTTTTCTTTGCTCATAAAAAGAAACGGAAAGTCTGTCTTTTCTTCACATGGAGAGAACTCCTTTCAGCACTGTATCAAAGTGCAGTGTGCTGTTAATCACTTATTCGTTTTGAGTTGGAAGGGAAAAAACAGCCAGGTTGTTCACTTCTGCGCTCAATCAAGGAGATAAATTTGATATGTGAGAGTGGATATTTTGGTTTTGTTTTTTATCCAAATCGGGAGGAAGGCAAACGTATTATAAGTTGGTGACAGCTCTAATGCCCAGATGTGAATACTTCAGTAATCATAATGTCCTATAAATCTCAGACACCTGTCCAAACATCGGGGTTAGCCTAGAAAAATACTGTTATTTATTTAGCTACCTAAGTTGATAGTGTCTACTGAAATCCATGTTTGCAGCTGAGCTTAAATGCATTTTAATTCTGTTTGTACTAACCAATGCTTGAAAAATCTGGCACTGTCATACTGCTCGTGAATTAGAACACATAATTATTTTTATTTTTTTAAATAAAAATACAAAATGAGGGTAGACCAGTGGATAAGTTGCATCAAGAAATGCTGAAGGCGAGGTTAAATGGGGCCCTGATTTATTAGGTGGCAACTTTGCCCATGACGGGGGGGTTGGAATCAGGTGATCTTTATGGTGCCTTTCAACTGAAGACATTCCATCACTCTATGCTCCTATGGTAAGGACTTCACCAAGTGAACACGCACAATGCAATCTGTTTGCAGTGTCCAGAGTGCCTGTACATGCTCAGTGGTTATTCCCCCAGACCGCTTCTTTGTCCAGAATGAGTTAATTTTCAAAAGGTTTTGCTTTTCCCTCCTTGAAGATAGAAAATGCTTACGTGAAACCTTCAGACCACCAAGGACATGTTTTTCTTGGGGAGCTGAAGACTCTTAAACTTTACAGCCCATTAGCAGAAGCTCCTCTGTAACGTGCATATGAACCATGCTGTCCAGATGTGTGGCCCCTCCAGTCCCTTGCAGGGATGTTGCCTCTTCTCTGGAGGAAGCATCTGAAGGCCAGCTCATGGCAGTGATTCCTGGGTGAAGATGGGGAATGGAACTTCAGGACCAAAGGAAGTGTTTTTCAGTGCCTTCCTTTCTCTCTCATTCCATAGGGTACGGTAGGAATGTACTCAAATTCTTAGCTGCCTTAAGTAATGAAAGGCAAGAGTGTTCTGATGTTCCATCTTAACAAACACAAAGCCCAACAAAGCTTTACTCCCAGTCATTTTAGAAAGCAGAAAGTGGCTGTTGATTGGAAATGAAAGACTGAACAGGAGACTGAACAACTTTTAAAGTCCAGAGAGATAGAACTGCAGGGATTCTTACTCCATATGTGTCACATTCCTTCATCATCTTATTTTCACTTTTTTCTTCTCTTGCTCAACCCCTCCTTTGCCACAGAAATACAAGGAGCTGCCTAGAGAGTTGACACAGATGTAAAATGGGGTATGGAAGTAGAAGTGAAAAGTGAATCTGGAATGGACTGCCAAGGGAGGTGGTGGAATCACCGAGCCTGGGGGTGTTCAAGGAAAGGCTGGATGTTGTGTTGAGGGACATGGTTTAGTGGGAGCTATTGGGAATAGGTGAACGGTTGGAGTGGATGATCTTTTAGGTCTTTTCCAACCTTAGTGATTCTATGATTCTATGAAGTGATGATATCCTTAACACTTAACATGCTAGGTTGGCTGTGTGCTGAATTTGTAAGATTTAGGCTAAGTTACCTAGCTGGCACAATGAGCACCAGCACAACTGCCTAGGTAATTTGGTGCCCAGATATTGGTGTTTGTAGAACA